AAGGAAAGATTGTATCGTCACATAAGTTTTACAAACTTATGTTCCTCTGCCACCACGATACCAAGGTAAGGATGTTCTGTCCACCAAACCCATCCATTTCAAACCTGTGCCTCCTGTCCACAGATTCCTCAAGTGCGTAAGAAGCTGTTTCTGTATCGTAGATATCTCCCTCTAGAAGAGAGAGATCTCTCCTCTGCCACCAACCTTATCAAACCAACACCATCCTTCCACCAAATCTTCTTCTCTTCTAGAGGAACCAGATCCCATTTCAAATATATTGAGAGTCTTTAGCCACAAGAACGAGATGACGAAGTTGTCGTCCCTCCGCCACCAAATAACAAAGAGGCAGAATTCGTACCCACCATTAACCACAACAGCAGGGTGAAGAAAATATCGTCAACATCGCCCTCTTCTCCTCTACCTCAACATAACATAGCAGCAGAATGTTGTCTTCGTAGTTCCTACTCATCCGCCACCAATCCTACCAGCAGCATATTCTGTCCACAGTTTCCACAACTGCCTCAACAGAAAGAGACCGTAACCACAATGCGTAAGAAGCAACCCTCATGATCCATAAAGGGGTCTTAAAAATATATATAATATAGAATCGTGATTGTACACAATTCTCTCTATGCAGGACATCAGTGCGCGCACTATCGACACTTTCAGGTGATGGAGGGAGGGAGGTGCGCTATATAAATTGTAGCTCTTCCTCCTTGTTGAGGGCGTAAGAAGCGTATTCTTGCCACCGATTCCACCCGATGTGCGTAAGGAGCGCTGTATCGTAGATATCTCCCTCTAGAAGAGAGAGATCTCTCCTCTCCCATCAAGAGGGAAGAGGTTATTGTATCGTCAGCACCTTCCTCTAGAGGATGTTGCCTCCTCTGCCACAAGGTACCGAGGGGATATTGTCTGTCCACCAGGACTCCCTCGCAGAGAGGGACCATCCAAGGAACGAGGGAATCGTTCCTACCGAAACCACAATGCGTACAGAGCTCTCCAGTATCGTCAAACTCCTGCTCCTATGGAGTAGTTGTACTCCTCTGCCCCATCATAACGTAGCAGCGGTATCTGTCCACCAATTCCACAACTTCTTAAACCAGAGGCTGCCCATCTTTCCACAAACTCCACCTAACCAGAAGCAGGAAATCTTGAACCAACCTTTCGAGAGAACTAGTTAACCCATTTCAAACAACGGTTTTTCCCCCTTAGCCACCGTACGTAAGAAGCTATTCTCTCTAGAGGGGCCCAACGCATGAGAACAGTATCCTGCTGTCCACCATTCCCATCCACGTAGCTGCTAAACCTTCCTTCTCTCCACACCTATTTCCTCTACCCATATCAAATAGAATTCGTACTCATCCTCTTTCCACAGTCCGTAGCTGCTGTAACATTCTGTCCACCTTACCCTCCTTTTCAAACAAATTGTTCTTTCCCCATAACCTCCATACCAGAAGCTTGATGTAGTCGTCAGAATACGATTCTTCCTCTGCCACCTGAATGCAAAGAGGCGATTGTATCGTCAACCATAAAGAGATTCGGGTTTCCTCTGCCACCCTATGCTTAAGAAGCAACCTCCTGACCACAATCTCCACATATCGAGGTGAAGATAGAGATGTCGTCAATTTCTTCCTGTAGAGGAGGATGTCTGCTCTGCCCCATCATAACCAGAAGCGGGGATCGTCATACTGTTTTTAACAAAACTGTATTCCTACGTACCCTCCACACAGAGAAGGGGATGTTGAAGTCGTCGATATCTTCTTCTCTCTAGAGAAGAGAGATCTCTCCTTCGCTCCATAATCGTAAGAAGCAGGGATCGCACCTATGGTTCTTACGTACCCTCCAATTCCACATTATCAAGAGGAGGCTGTATCGTCAATATCGTTTCCCTGAAACTCTATCTCCTTTGCCACCAACATTTTTCATAAAACCCTCTCATCCCACAACTCTATTCTCTCTAAAGAGAGAAACCCTCTCTACCATATCAAACCAACACCATCCTTCCACCAAATCTTCCTCTCTTCTAGAGGAACCAGATCCCATTTCAAATAACTATGGGGGTCTCTAGCCACAATGCGTACGAAGCAATGTTCTATCCACCAACTCCACCAAGAAGAAGTGAAAATGTAGATATCGTCACCTTCGTCCTATAGGAACTACGGTTCCTCTGCCACAACATGCATAAGAAGCATCTTCTGTCCACCATTTCCACAACTGCCTCTATAGGAAGAGACCAATATCCACAATGCGTCAGAGGCTACCATCATGATCCATTAAGGGGTCTTAAAAATATATAGTATATCGAATCAGTGTTTGACAACAATTCTCATATGAGGGTCTTCAGTGCGTGCACTATCGACACCTTCAGGTGATGGAGGGAGGGAGGTGCGCTACATAAATTGTAGCTTCTTCTCCTTGGTGGGGGCGTAAGAAGCATACTCGAGCCACCGATTCCACCAAAAGGAAGGCAGCGTGTTAATTATCGTCGCTTCTCTCCTGTGCCACAAATAACCAGAGGAAGGGTTGTTGTATCGTCTGCCACAAGGTACCGAGGGGATGATGTCTGTCCACCAGGGCTCCCTCGTAGAGAGGGACCATCCAAGAGAAGAGAGGGAGAGTGTATCGTCAGGACCTTCATCTCTCTAGAGAGGGGAGATTCCCCCTCTGCCACCTATTGCGTACGGAGCTCTCCAGTATCGACACTCTAGAGTAACTAGAGTTCCTCTGCCCCATAAATACTAGCTGCAGGATGGTATCGTCATACTCCTACTCCTATGGAGTAGCTGTACTCTTCTGCCACCAGAATACAGAGATGAGAATGTTCTGTCCACCATTTACTACAAACCGAAGAGGGAATGTAAATGTCGTGCCTCCGCCCCTTGATGCGCAAGAAGCTGCCCATCTTTCCACAAACTCCTCCTAACCAGAAGCAGGAGATCTTGATCCAACCTCGTAAACCCATCTCAAACAAAAGTTATTTCCTCAACATCCTCCATATGCAGCGGCTACTCCATATCGTCGACATCCTGTCTCCTCTGCCCGTAAATACCAGAAGGCAGTTTCTATCCACCATACCCTCCTTTTCAAACAAACACCTCCTTTCCCCACTTAACCACCGGGTGTAAGGTCACACAGGTGACATTCCTTGAAAAAAGCATATCCAAGTCTTAAGTAGCTGTTTCTAAGCCTCGAAGAGCACTGATCTGTACTGATTTATATTTCGTCGGCAAGTAGTTGTACTTTCTTGGCACTCGGTTGAAACGAGGCTGTTCTGGCTGACTACTGTCAGTTTCGGCTTTTGCAACCTTGATTGCTAACGAAAAAACTTGTTAACAATAACAATCTAAACATCAACAAATCAAAAATACCGTATTTCAGCTGCGGCAAACCTGCTAAAGAACAAGAGGTTAAAATATCAACTAGGATACTAAGGGTAAGCTTAAAAATGCCTCACAAAAAATTTCCAAATCGTTTACTTCTCAGTACGATCAAAAAGAGGCGAATCACCTTGTGCCGTTTAATTAAAGCTTGCAGCTCTTTGCCC